CGAGCAGCCGTCGCTTTTTACGCACTCTCTTACCGAGCGTCTTCGTTTCCAGGTTACCCGCAGAATATTTTTTTTTTTTTTTTGGCTCGTTGGTTGCGCTTTTCCTATGCTTTGATGTTTTCGTCATAATCTGCTCGCCTCTTCCTTCTGCTATATGCCCCGCTGCCAGATCGGCGAGGTGTGCGGACTGCGCGGCCAAATGCAAAACGTCGTCACGCGCTGAGAGATGCACTGCGGGGCACTCGCGGCGACAACTGAGGCGCCAAGCGGGAGAGAAACAAAAACGGCGCTCGACGGCCGGAAAGAAGAAGCCGTCAAGACGTGGGAACGGGGGAGAAAAGGGAGGAGGACCTCCAGCGGCGATTGCGCCGCTCAAATCACTTCAAATTGAACGAAACAGTTTTGCCTCCCCGCGCGCGGAACTTTTGACAGCTCTCAAACGGTCGCAGCGGGGCGTCAAACCGTCTTCTCCCGCGAATGAAGGCGCCAAATGAAGCGGCTCTTGTTTGTTCCCCTCGCTGCGTGGGCCGTCCGACACCCATGCATGCGAAGCAGGAGCGGCGTTTTTGCGCGCCCTTGTTGTTGTACCTGGCTCTCTCCCGCGGCAAGGTTTTTCGGCCTGGGAAGACGCGCCGCGGACCTCTGGGTGCGCGCACGTAGATGTGTCTACTCGCACACGGCCGCCGATCCGAGCCTTTCGTGCGACGCGCTTTTGTTGGCCTAAACAAAAGAAGCTTCCCGAACAGGCTTCGCTTCTATTCGTGTGCTAAACCGAACAGCGCGTTGCGCACGCGCTCCTTCATTGTGCGCCTTGCAGTGTGTGGGTTCCTGGTGCGGAACGCACATACTTATGGTACAGGAAGGCCCCACTGTTCTTTTTGCAATTCCTTCGGAAGGGCTGGCGATTGTTTCGCTTTCGAGTTCCGATGCCCGCGCGAAGTCTGCCGGCAGGGGGGCGGGAGCGTCCACCCTGACGGCTCCCGTCGAGTCGTTGCAACCTTCATCGTGGAAAGCGTTTAAAGCAGGGGCACCGCATGTTTGACGTCGTTATTAGCCATTGTGTTCACGCGAAATCCCGTTTCTCGTTACTGCCAACTTCGATCCACCTGAATGGACATCACGCTGGAACACGGCTGAGCTCCGCGCTTGATGAGGGGAAAGGAGGCGACGTGTCAGGATGAAAGAAATGAGGGGGAGCACATGTATTTGAATTGAATCTGTTGAGCGCATCCTCAGAAGGACTAAGTGCTTCGACTTCAAATCAGCGCACTCTGTAGTGTGAGCGGCCTTTTTCTATTTTTTATATCCTTTCAATTTCAAGGTGAGCTAGAACGATGTATTGAGATCCAAACTGTTTGCTCGAAAAAGGGAGAGTGAGTGGGGTGTTTTTTTCTTTTCATGTTGGACATTCGCAATGAATGGGGCACGATGAACAAGCGGCGCCTATGATGAATCATTTCTGAAAATGTTAACGCGAACAACTCATGGTATGGTGATGTATGCGTATCCCTGGCTATGGCGGGCCCTAACCGGATGTCCACTACACAGAGCTGACACAACCGGCATATCATTTTCGTTTTTGTTTTTTCCACTCAATTTACGATTATTTTCTACGATCGTTGTTCTTACATTAACTTTGACTTAGCAAGCGCATGGAGAACTAATTTTACATATTCAGTTTCCTCAACTGCAGGTTTGGTGATGCCGGTTTATTCACCTAAGGGTGAACTTGTCTAGCCTCAGGATCAAATTCCAACCACGGCGGCCTCATTTTCTATCGAGACGAGAATGCTTCAGCCCCGCCCTAACTAAATTTAGGTGTACATACGCTTAAGCCCCAGGTGAGATGTCGATATTTTAGTAGCCGTCCACTACGGGATACATCATATAGCCACAACGTGGTTCGAAAAGGTTAAACCTCAATTATAAATGTGAAACATTCTTTTGCGCACTACAGGCACTTTGAGCATCTATCTATCTATCTATCTATCTATCTATCTATCTATCTATCTATCTATCTATCTATCTATCTATCTATCTATCTATCTATCTATCTATCTATCTATCTATCTATCTGTCTATCTATCTATCTATCTATCTATCTATCTATCCGCTTACGTCTGGGTATTCTAGTGATCGCCCCTTTAACTTGGGATAAATCAAAATTAGTATTGGAGCGTAAGATGGTTCGGCGAATAGAACTCCCTGGCCATGACATAAATAATGTCACAATCCCGTCGCTTGCGCCGTCATACTCTTTCCGCTATAGACGTGTTGCCCATACCCGCGGGCGGTGAAGTGCCACAGGTGGTTTAAAGTTTATATCTATGCAGGAACGGTGAGAACACGAATGGATGATTTTAACGCATGCGCGTTCAGAAAAAGCGGACAACGGCTTAGTTGACCCGATGAATGCAAAGAATAAATGTCAGGGTCCCGGCAGGAAGCGGACCCCAGTATTCTGCGTGGCGTTCAAATATTCCACCACAGAGCTACGCCAGATCCCGGAACTTCTTTTCAAGTATAGACCCTGATGTTCGTGAAACGTCAATTGTGGTTGTAGTGCTGACTGTCCAACTTTATAAACATTACATATGTAATCCTGTATTGATTGATTGATTTGTGGGGTTTAACGTCCCAAAACCACCATATGATTATGAGATACGCCGTAGTGAGGGCTCCAAAAATTTCGACCACCTGGAGTTCTTTAACGTGTACCCAAATCTGAGCACACGGGCCTACAACATTTCCGCCTCCATCGGAAATGCAGCCGCCACAGCCGCGATTTGATCCCGCGACCTGCGGGTCAGTAGCCGAGTACCATAGCCACTAGACCACCGTGGTGGGGCATGTAATCCTGTATTATACAGTCGTTACATCGGCTTAACGTCAATTGGCGTTAGGCGCCATTCTCTAAAATTAATTTGTGTAGCGGTGTCCAGGGATACCGTCCTTGCGAGCACAAACGCTTCATATCAGCTTACCGTTTCTGGCGTTGCTAATATCCATGTTGGCATCCTTACCCAACTGTAAACAACTGCTTATATCAACGTTTATCGTTCGAAATGTCAGCGTACGTGCATTTGTACATATCTTTACGCCACTTCCTAATGTTGCGCTCAATGAAAAAATTACGGTACCGTCACCTTCCATCCGCATGCTTCGCATAACATCGATCCCAACGGTACGTGGGACCTGTCAAACTTTATGACTGTTTTTCTTTTAGTTACGTACATTCCTTCATGTACCACTCAACTCTTAATTGCAAATGTTCTTTCGCAAATTCCTTTGGTATAAATTTATTTAGCTTGCAATCTATGAAAGACCGGTATTGCTAGCCCTAACTGGGTAGCCGTGCGCGCCTGTTGCCTCCATGGCGTCTGTTCACAAAACGAAGACAGCTTTACCCACTCCCACCACTATAGAGCCCTGTCCCGGTCCAATGCAGCGCCCTCGGCGTGAACAAAGTAGAATAAACGCGGTTTTATTCATTTATGCATTCATTCCAATAACTATACCTTTATCACTGCTCAGTGGAAGTGGCGCCAGCTCGGAGCTTATCATGCATGATAAGGTATACACAAGAAATGATGCGGTTTCTATTAGAATTTGACCTTCCGCAGCTTGCTGTCATGAATTTCGACCACATGAAAGTTATTAATTGTCCTGCATTTCTGATTGATTTGTGGGGTTTGACGTCCCAAAACCACCATATGATTATGAGAGACGCCGTATAGTGGAGGGCTCCGGAAATTTCGACCACCTGGGGTTCTTTAACGTGCACCCAAATCTGAGAACACGGGCCTACAATATTTCCGCCCCCATCGGAAATGCAGCCGCCACAGCCGGGATTCGATCCCGCGACGTGCGAGTCAGCAGCCGAGTACCTTAGCCACTAGACCACCGCGGCGGGGCTCGTCCTGCATTTCTCTCTAACGGTTTGTTGCCATACTATACCGTGTTGCACGGAAATCATTAGGCATACTACAATTTCTGCCTTCGCGCCCAAATTGTATCCGCGCGCGTGCGTGCGTGTGTGTGTGTGTGTGTGTGTGTGTGTGTGTGTGTGTGTGTGTGTGCGTGTGTGTGTGTGTGTGTGTGTGCGTGCGCGTGTGTGTGTGCGTGCGTGTGTGTGTGTGTGTGTGTGTGTGTGTGTGTGTGTTCAGGAGATGCATAGTATGCGGATCACCAACCTTCTGAAAATTACGTTCGCTTCAAAACTTCTCTCGCTGCACAAAGTACACCATATACGCTGCCACTTGTGTGAAGCTGAGTTTCGAGATGTACTCTGTATGTTGCTCACTTAAAATATAGAAGAAAAGTACACACAGATGATCCTGCAAGCTCCCCGTATAACCAGGGAGCTTTCAGAATCACCGAAACAACTCTGAGCTGTCGTATATGAGTCCCTATAAACTTCATCTAACCCCCCCCCCCCTTTTTTAAGCATTTTTTCCTGTGGGTCACAAAGAATTTTAAATTTTTTCATTAGTGTTATATATCATCCTAGATGTCAATGAAAAGAATTAGGATATGTCACCGCTTACAGTGCGCTATTTTCTGGCATTTTTGGAGGGCGTAGAACTCCATCACCACCATAATCATCTTCCTTATAATCAGCCTGAATGAGCCCACTGAAGGGCAAAGGCCTCTACAAAGTTCCGTCAACCATGATGGTGCTGTGCTTTGTGCGCTCATATTATTTCCGGAAACTTCTTAATCTCGTCTGCTCACCTATGGCGTCTCTCATAATCATATGGTGGTTTTGGGACGTAAAACTCATACCAATCAATCGTCTGCCCACCTAACTCTTTGCCACCCCCTCGCGCGCTTGCCATCACTTCACGACCTATATGGGTACGTTACCTTCGCGCTGCATGCACTGTCAAATGCCATTTATTCTCAAGGTAATCTGAAAATGTTCGTATAACGCCAATTTGTTCCGTGACCCATTAAGCTACCCTGTCCGTTAAGGTTACACCTGTCATTTTCTTTTTCAGTGCTCACGGCGTTGTCGTCAATCGAACTCAAACCTGGTTCCATACGTAAGTATACTGGTAAGAGGCAGCTGATGTGTGCCTTCCTCTCACGCGTCACCGCATACCTCGGCTTTTGGCCAGAATAAGTTCAAACAACTTTATATTTTAGGGTATTTTTACCATGTCGGCGCTGAGTTTTGTCGAAAGAGCGTGAGGACGTTTCGCTTTTTGCATTCGGCAACAATAAATCGCTGCTAGTATCTTCTGTATAGAAATAATTTTGTGACATTTTTGCTTTCGGCAGATCTCGCCGAGGTCTTGTGAGTTCTCATGATAATAACAATAGTTCCTGGATTTTTACGTCCGAAAGCTACGATGTATGGTTACGAAGGACGCCATAGTAGGAGGCTCCGTAAACTTCGACCTCTTGGGCTCCTTTAACGTGCAGCTAAAATCATTACACATGCCAATAACATTGCACCTCCGTGGAAATGCGGCAGTAGAAAGTCGTGGGATCAAGGTGCGTACTCGGGATCTTCGATTGACGGAGTCGTTGATTCTCCTCTATACTTTATTCCTAAAGAGGAGGGTGGGGTGGAGGTACAAATAAAATTCCTTTTTATTTCATTATTTCGCATGAAAACGCTCAAAAACGGAGAAGGAAGGAAGTGCACAGTGCTTACTTCAAGTCACTACACGTTAGAAATTAACAGTGACCTCTGGAAAGGAAGTGTGGCAGCTTGGGCTAGTTGGTATGACACAACGATTGTTATAGCGCGAGAACACGTGTCCTTGTCTCTTCATCGTCGTTCTGTTCTCTCGCTGTAACTATCCTCTGGAAAGGAAACTACGAAAAATATGAAGAGCCAATAAAGACAGAGAAACACAAAAGCAAAGGAACTTGCGAAAGTGCACTTTTTGGTGACTCTGCGCCTGCGCCTACACAACTGATTTTTTTGTTTTACAGACCGCAAGTCCAATCAAAGTCAAAGGTGGCAGGAACGAGTACATGAATGAAGAAAAAAAACAAAAAAAACACATCACTTACAGCAGCCATGCGTGTTTTTGACATCTGAGGGAATTTTCTCTTATTGTGATACATGACATTATCCAGCTGAGCGACTGTACTACAAAGGTATGCAGTGCCAGTATGGAGCCTTCGTTTATTTGTAGTTTATGCTAGTTTCCTTTGTTCATGTGTATAACAATACTCTTGAAACCCTATGAGAGACAAGATATCGAACGTTCGCATCTTAGTGTGTGGCCTCCGGCTTTCATATCGTCACGTGGTGTCTATACGCATGCCAGAAAGCGCTCCCGTCCTCTTCTCCTGCAGTGCTCTGAAATATAGAGCTTGGTGGTAGTGGTGGATGTTCACACCAGATTACTCGAAGGGCCTGCTAGGTGTTTCAGATGTTGGAACCCGCAGCTTCACTTGGAATCGTCGGGCGGGTGACAACCATCGTGCTGCTCGACCGCACGGCGTGTCTCCTGATCTGGTGCTTAACCCCAGTAGTGGTGAAAAGGAAAACCTACTCGCCACGACAGAACCCCGTGGTTGGTGTGCGCCCTCCTCCGGCGAGGCTCGCAAAGCGGCCGAGAGAAAAAACCACTCTCTGGAGCTCTCTCGCTCTCTCCCCACTTTTGCGTTCTTGACGCGCTGCTTGTATCTTGCGCGGTCGCTGCAGTTGCTGCTCTCACCGCGTTATTCGGTGCGTAGCCCGATTAAATAATAAAAGGGGGCGCGCTAGCGCGGCAGCGATGTGCCGGGAGGGGGGGGGGGGGGTTACTCATTAGCATATCCCAGAACTCATCGCGTCGTCGACGTCACCGGGCAGGACCCCGCCTTCGCAAGCCCGATTGGAGGGCGCTTGCCGAAAGAGGCGGGCCCGCTCCCCCACGCGACGGTCGCAGTGAGGGCAATGTCAGGCGCGCAGCCATCTCCGCCGGTCTTTTCTTCGACGCCCTCGATCCTCCGATTCCTGCGCCCGAAGTGGCAGCTGAACCTGGCGAGAGAAGCTCTCCGCTTGGAGCATCTCCAGTGTTGATTCCTGAGAACCTGCACGGGACGGCAATGATAAGCTCGTAGCAGTTTTTTTTTTTTAAATCATGTTTCCACCGGGGGGTATACACGCACGTATATACAATGACAATGCACAGAACCGTACCCGCTTGCTGTATTCTTTTTATTATGTAACACGTACATCTAATTAGACAGCAATCGTATGTTTGTTTATGCTTTATGATCGCATGCAGGTATAACCATGAAAATACTGTTGAAGTCATAGCTCAGTGAAAATCACTGATGTGCAGCTCAGATTGCCTAAAGAGCTAATACAAGCAAAGAATACATAATGAAAAGTATACCGTTCTTCCGAGCACAGTGTTGGAGCAGCTTTCGGATACAAAGCATACACGAAAATACGCAGTATAGAACGCACATCTTGAAACACTTGTGAGTTGCGAGGTACACTCACTGCGACATTCTTTATTGACAGCATACCGACATAGGATCGCTGTTAGTCTCTATAGCAGACACAGAATATACATACTTCTTTTCTTCATATTGCAATTTGAGTTTGATTAAATCTGTGTTATGCCGACCTTTCTTTTGTGGACACCAAACTTTATTTACTTCGTGACGTTGCAGCGTTCATTCTTCTGGCATTAGTAAAATTGCAATTCATGAACCACTTATTTTTTGAAGCTCCTATTGTACGATTCTAATGATTAATCATATAATATTGTTTTTTGTTGTTTCTTTGTATTCTAACTTCGAAATCAATGTTAAAGGTGCCTTTCTTCTGCATTCATTTTGTTTAGATGCTAATTCCGCTGCCACGTGATGCACCCCAGCCCTTCGATAAGCTAGTGCGCTGTTTATTATTATTGATATTTTTGGTAAACCAAGGCATATTGTTCCAGTTGTAAGCCTTCACTTCGCGGAATAAAATTTGAATTGAAAACAGTTGGTGTTACACTGGCCTCATCATTGATAGATAGATGTGTCAATGCTTCAGTTAAATGCAAACGAACTATACCCGGCACAATGATCAATGTTGTTCTATGTAGAATCTTCTGGGCTTTTTTGAGAAGTCTGTCCTATATACTATAAATAGTCATATATAGTCTGAATTGGAGGGGGGGGGGTGGAGGGGGAAGCTTGGGCTTAAGCCCCACATTCTCACCATTGGCCTCTTTCTCTAATCACTTCGCAAACGTTCTGAACTTGTGTCGCACATTACCCGCATTCAAATGAATAAACCGGCACACATCAACAAACTTTTTTAACACCAAAGTATTTTAAGCCGGGGTCGACCACGGCTCTGCTGACGTACTTCCGTTACGGCAATGACGTTAGTATGTTGTCTGGTGTGCTAATGGCAAGCCATTTATATAAACTATAAACTGTTTGTCAGTCCTCAGAGCTTCGAAATTTTAGTGCGTTTTCGTTATCAGTGTCGAGATGGCGCGACAGGCTCGAGTTGAGCGCGCTCTCAAGGTCGTCGTCTCCGCGAAGCACCGCCTCCGCGGAGCGTGGTCTCTCTTACGCGCTCTTATCAGACTCGTAATTCGGTTAAAAAGAAAGAAAGGTTACTTCGCAAGATGCCACGGCAGCGTTCACGAAAAGAGCGCGCTGCTGAGAATAAGAGCAAGGAAGAATTGTGACTGTTGTTCGCGCTCGTCCTGGGTATATTGTGCGCTCGTTTCGTGCTCGTTTTTTTTTTTCTCTTTTAACAGCGCACTTAATGGGTCGAGCTGTGACCGTTGTTAGTCCGCGCTTGCCCTTTCTATGCTAACTTCGTGCGTGCTTTCTGCTTGAGGTGTGCGCTGCAAGTTTCCAGCTGCTTGCTGCTTCTAACCCGAGTTCACAATTTGTTTCTGTAGCTGAAACTATGCACAATAAATGCTCAGCTGCCTCTGTAAAGACAAGTTGTGTTATACAACTTTTGTGTTATACCGATTCTTATATAGAGGGATCAGCCACCTTTATTTTTTTTGGGGGGGGGGGGGGGCAATGCACTTAGCCATATACGCCAACCGACATTACTAATGAAACATGGAGCATCAGGATTGGCTGAAATTTTCTGTTGCAAACAACTTCAGCTATAATTTTATTGCAACATGTGCCAAAGATTACTTCGCTCAGAGGCTTTGCGATACGTCTACGTTAATCATTGCGAGCCTCTCGAGTAACATACCGGGTGTTAAGCTTTATGATTTTTTTTTAAATTAGGTGCTCAAAGGCACGCGAGAACCACTTGTGCAAATAAGTCAAGCGGCCAGGCAGACAGAAAGCTTGAAAATAATGATCGCTGCCAGCAGTCCAACTATCTAAACTTTATTATTTAAATTTTTACTGGCTGCGGCAAGTTGGCACTTTGTATTGAAATAATGCAGGCAGTGGTGTTCGAACACAGTTTCAGTCGGAAGATTTTTTCTAGCATGCCTGTGCTCCGAGATATCCGGCTCCAAAGCTTAAATGTCTTTCGTATGATTACGTATGCAAGAGGGTGAGGGTCTGCGCAAAGCTCCTCCCTAAAGAGACGCATCTGTTGCGTATGGTGTTTAGTGTGGGAAGATGTTGGAAGCGTAGGCATACATAATAACAATTGCTTTTGCCCTCTCGGCCGGCGAAATCAAAATAAGACAGCGTGGTGCACCATGAGCCTTACGCATGATTCTGATGAACGCGAAAACAAGAGACCATTTTTCGCGACGTTTTCCTTTGACTTTAGATCACACAGAGATGTCTAGTGAACGCTTCAGCTTGACCGTTCTGTACTAGGGTGCCTCTGGTAGCACAGCGTCTCTGCATTGATGGTCCACCAAAGAAATCCATGTGGAGTCCTTCCGAGCTAATATGGCTCCTTCTAGCGTGAGGTATACTACAGAAGAAAACGTAGACGTGGTGCTTGCAATGGCTGAAATGAATGACAACGCTTGGAGCTTTATCCGTCTCGCCACCCACACCATTCCCTTCTAAGAAGTCCCACTTTCACAAACCTATACTTCGACGCTTTTGCGCAACAGGCTCAGTCCACCTTTCAAGATGGACCACGAAGGCCGACGTGGATGAAAACTTTAAAATTGGCGTTGTTGCGTGCGTAACCTCGATGCCAGAGCTCACCATAGACAGATTTTTGATCAGTGTGGTCGCAGCGTCGGAACAGTCACAACTGTTCAAAGAAAGCACAAGTTCCATTCATATCACGTTTACCTTCATCAGGACCTACGTGAGCCGGATTTCGAAAGGCAAGTTGACTTCTGCAATGGGGGCCTTCTGAAAACTGATAAAAAAATTGACTTTTTGCACAGAATAATTTATACTGATGAAGCTCGGTTTTGCCGAAATAGAAGTGTTAATCTTCACAACGCCCATTATTGGACACTAGAAAACCCACCCTGGCAGAGGCAGCACAAGCATCAAGTTCGCTGGAGTAACATGTGGTGCGGCCTACTCGAGGACAGGATCATTAGATGCCACTTTTTTTAAGGACAACTTTAACGGAAAGTTATACACAGAAGAAATATTAGGTGTTGTAATTGATGACCTTGTCTGCAGTCTTTCCCTGAAGGACCTGCGCCAAGTATGGTTTCAGCGTGATGGAGCACCACCACGTTTTTCTTCCAGGGTGAAGAACTAGTTGGACTGACGCTTTCCACAACAGTGGATTGGGCGCGCAGGAGAGATGTTTTGGCCGCCAAGATCTTTTGAACTTTCCCCGCTCGACTGTTTCTATTGGGGCTACGTTAAAGATCGAGTTTACGTAACAGAGCCCAGCGATGTTTATGACATGAAGGACAAAATAACAACTGCCTGTGCAAGTATTCCTGCAGAAGTATACTACGATGAGTCATTCAGTCGACGCGAGAGCGGTTTTCGGGGCATTGACGTCTTGAGAGGTGAAGAGTTCCGATGAGATTTGTGCATCACCGAAATAAGCTTTTGTAGCAGCAGGAAATATGCGTCGTAAGGCTAAAACTGTTTCAGTTATTATTGGTAGAGTAGTTCCTCTTGATTT